CTGTCTCCTCTCCACAGCCCCTTGTCACGCTAAAATAATCCCGTCTTCTGCCTCCAGCCTTGCAAACATTGCATGGGTTGATAATCTTGATGGGCAACCTTGAGGGTGACGAAGTGAGGGGGTGTTTATTACCATCATTCATGAACTGATATGATGCCTCTTCATGTCCCACCAAGCTGGTAACAGTCGTCCACCAGCTGACCAGTATCTTCCTTCGGAGTGCTCCGTGTGTAGCTTACTACTTGCGGCATTGCTTGTAAGTCTCTATACATCCTTAACGTGGTGATAATGAAGTGCAAAGATGTCCAGTAACTTGCCCAAAGCTACACTATAAAACCCAGAACAGAGTCCTAAACCCCAAACGCTTCTCCAGCCGCGACGCCACACCACCAGGGGTCCCCTCCACATCCCAATCCAGTTCAATGTTTCCATTGACTGTGCAGACCAGTGACAAGACGATCCTGTACTCGGTGGCTTCCACGCTGGTGAACTGCACCAACAGTTACGATGTCAAAGAGCTGGTCCCAGAGCTTGTGCAGCTGGCGCAGTTTTCCAAACAGCATGTTCCCGAGGAGCACCCCAAGGTAGGTTGGTTGTAGCCAGGACTGCCGACCCCCTATTCCTTTGCCTCAGATGGTGGGGATCCCAGAACCCCCAAAACAACCCTTCTGAGAAGTGCTGTATCCCCAGCTGCTTCAGGGGAAGGCTTAGCTATGGACTCCACATGGTAACGTTGCCCATCTCCTGCAGTTCCAGTTTTTACACGTTCAGCTGTATGTCCCAGGGACTAAAGGACGATAGAGAATACTTAAAGTTTTAAGACGTGCTTTTTTCGTTATAGGGATGCCTCAAGGCCTCAAAATGAGACTGGGACCCCCATTGTGCTAGGAGCTGTACATCCATAAAGTCAGTTCTTGTCCTGAAGAATGTACAAGCTAAACACGTAAAACAAAGGGCAGGGGGAAACCGAGGCACAGGAAAGCTATTTGCCCCAGGTCATGGGAGAGATGGGACCAGCAACAAGGTCTCCCGAGTCCCAGTCCATTAGAGACATGCTGCCTGTCTACCTGATGAGACAGGATCTTACCAGGCAGCAAGCCAGGGCGTGAATGTCCATCACAGCAGCTTGCCCCCACAGTAACATCATAGAATCTCAGGGTTGGAAGGGACCTCAGGAGGTCATCTAGTCCAACCCCCTGCTCAAAGCAGGACCAATCCCCAGACAGCTTTTTGCCCCAGATCCCTAAGTGACCTCCTCAAGGATTGAACTCAT